ACGTGGAGACGAAATAGTGTAGCCGCGAGGACTGAGCCTTGCGGAGCAAAATTATTTTAATTATCTTTGATAAACTGAATATGAATATTTACTCGATATAGCGTTATCTAAATTTTCACTATTCATTTGATTGAATTCTTGTGATAATGAAATGATCATTTGTCCAACAACATTTTGATTTCCACTTGAAAGTAATCGAACAATTGGATTATTTGTTATTGTACTCGACGAATTTATTATTTTATCAATTAAATCATTGATTGTTACGGAATCTGCAATAACATTAACAGACGATATATTCACTTGTGCAACAGAACCAGCAAGATCTCGAACATAAACAACAAGATTAAGTGATGAAGTTTCATTATCACCAGCTGGTAATCGAACTTGAAAATTATCTTCTGGTGAAAACGCAATCATTGTTCGTTGTGATATGTCTGTTGTCCATGCTAAAATGACAGAAAGTACAAAAGTCAGTTGGTAGTGAAAATAAAACATACTATATAATGAATAATCTTGTATTCCATCTACATCATACCAATCTGGACACGTAATAGTAAATAAAGTAGTTATAGTACCACCAAGCGGATTGATTGAACACGAACCATTTGCAGGCGGTTGATTAATAATAAAATTCAATGCACTTGTACTTATTGCGAATTGGAATGTATAAACAACTTCAAAACGCCAAAGACTTATTTGAAGATTATTAAGAAATAATTGATCTGTTGCTGTGAAATTACTTGTGTTTGTACCTAAAATAATCAATAAATATATCTGATTATTAAAAAAACAAGTTTTTTACCAAAAAACCAAATATTTTCATATAGAATCGTATTATTAAATAAAACCCATTGAGTAGAATTTGAAGATGTTGCATTGTCTGATCCTTGATAAATATTCCATTTAATACTTTGAAGACTTGTACAAGTTCCAATACAAAGAGTAAATAAAGCAACTTGTGTTGTTGGATTAAGAAGTTGAAATTCAAGATTTGGAACACACATTGTTGATATTACACAACTAAAATAAATAGTTTTTATTGGAATAATTCAATTAAAAACTCATAAAGAATTTACCCAACAGCAATCAATTGTGGATGAGTAATTTCAGTTGTAACCAATACATAACCTGTTGCCTGAATAGAAGAGTTCTTACGATTCTCCATATAAACCATAAATTGATAGATTTGATTTAATTGAAGTGAACCACCAAGAACTGTTAGAGATGAATTAGGTGATAAAGTTAAATTTCCGAATATCAATCCTGTTCCATTTCCTTTTTAAAAAATAATAAAAATGATTGAATTAGATTTTCATTAATAATTTTACCTGATCGAGTTGACAAACATGATGGATTATAAGGATCAATTGTTGAATCATCAATTGATAATAATATTCCCTGTAGATTTGGGAAATTATATAAACCATAAATTCGACAATAATATGTATATTTCCATTTCTATGATTGAAAATAAAAATAAAATTATTTGAATATTCACCTACAGATATTTATACTTACAGTTGCATCAAATGTATCTTCGTCAGGATCAACTGAAAATGTTCCAGGATCAAGTAAAAGATCCTGTTGATCACCTCGTGTTATCATAGATGTTCCTAGTTGCACAAGATTTGCTGTTATACCTGTTGCAGTTATTCTCACATAAACTGAAGATGATGATTTTAAATTAGGTGAATCAATCAGTGTCACGGTTAAGGTTAATTGATAAACACCATAAGTAAGAGTTCTTGATGGAATATAAAGTTCACTATATGTTGTCATAACTTTTTCATTTAATAGAATCTCAAATGAACAGCTATTTGAAGTACAATTCTTTATTGTCCATTTTGTAGTTGTTGAAAGTGAACCATCACAGTTAAACTGAATCATTGAAGTAATGGAAAAATCTTGACTACGTCGATATGTTATTGGAGATGATAGAGATGATTGTCCAGGAATTAACGTAATTGTCGGTGAATAACAAGCTAATTTAGAAAAGAAAAATCGATAAATTATATTTTTTATATTATTCATATTATTACTTTCATTGATATCTAATCTTTGAGATGTTGTTATCGAAGCCGTGCTTGAAACTATTGTTGAGTCTTGTACTGTTGAAATGAATTCATCTAAGAATAATGATTAATGAAAAATGGAGAAAGACATTTTGATGAATATACCTTCCTGGATTTGTGTTGTACTTTCAGCATCAGTCGTTTGGATAATACTTGTGGTACTGCTACTGCTGGTAGTAATGCTACTTGATGTACTACTGCTACTGATAGTAGTACTACTTGAAGTGATGCTACTACTCGTAGTAGTACTACTACCGGTGGTCGTAGTGCTACTGCTGCTCATGGTAGTACTACTTGAAGTACTGCTACTGCTCGTGGTAGTACTACTACTGGTGGTAGTAGTGCTAGTTGAGGTACTGCTAGTGGTAGTGGTAGTACTACTACAGGTGGTAGTAGTGCTAGTTGAGGTACTGCTAGTGGTAGTGGTAGTACTACTTGTGGTACTGCTGCTGCTCGTTGTAGTACTGCTGGTGATGGTGGCAGTGGTAGTAGTGCTACTTGAAGTACTACTGCTACTACTTGTTATACTGCTACCTGTAGTGCTGCTACTGCTCGTAGTGGTACTGGTAGCGGTGGTCGTGGCAGTGGTGCTACTTGAAGTACTGCTGCTGCTTGTAGTAGTGCTACTTGTGGTGCTGCTGCTACTTGTTGTCGCACTAGTGGTAGTAGTAGTGCTACTTGAAGTACTACTGCTGCTCGTGGTGGTACTGCTTGTGGTGCTGCTGCTACTTGTTGTAGTACTAGTGGTGGTAGTGGTAGTAGTAGTAGTACTTGAAGTGCTGCTGCTGCTTGTAGTGGTGCTACTTGAGGTACTACTGCTTGTGGTGGTAGTGGTACTTGTGGTACTGCTGCTACTTGTTGTAGTACTTGTAGTGGTAGTAGTAGTAGTACTGCTAGTGGTGGTCGTGGTAGTAGTGGTACTTGAGGTGCTACTGCTGCTCGTACTAGTACTACTTGTGGTACTACTGCTACTTGTTGTAGTACTTGTGGTAGTAGTAGTAGTAGTAGTGGTACTTGTGGTAGTGCTACTGCTTGTAGTTGTACTGCTGGTGGTGGTAGTGGTAATAGTGCTACTTGTGGTACTGGTAGTGGTAGTGGTAGTGCTACTGCTCGTAGTAGTACTGCTAGTCGTAGTGCTACTCGTGGTACTAGTTGTAGTAGTAGTAGTGCTACTAGTGGTGGTGGTAGTACTACTTGTTGTACTGCTACTGCTTGTAGTCTTACTCGTGGTAGTAGTTGTAGTGCTAGTTATGGTACTACTGGTGCTGCTCGTAGTAGTAGTGGTGGTGGTAGTCGGTATTGCTGAAATATAAAACAATAGTACTGTATTCAGTTAAATTAGAGGGAAGTTATACTAAAAACATTAATACAAGATCAGATAATTCAGGCAACATATCATCTGATTTCTGTCAATTTTTTTAAATAATAGTCGCAAAAAACTAATTATCAAGTAAAATTTCGTAATGTTCCATTTATACACAAACAAACTTACTGCAGTTGTTCGTTTGAAGAGTGAATTGTTGCACTCGACTATTATTTCGATCAGTAACATATATATTTCCATAACTGTCAAAAGCCATACTTTGTGGAAATGATAATTGAGATGCAGATGAACCACCTCCTGAACATCCTACTATACATCGAAAACCATAATAATTTGAAGCAACAATACGATGATTATAACTATCGACAATAAAAAGATAACTATTAGCATCAAGAACAATTCCAGTCGGATAGTTGAGTATAAAATTTGCTGATGATCCATTACCAACGATTGTCATTCCATTTAATTGACCAGTTTGAACGAATTGAATACGATTGTTGGCACAATCTGCAATATATAAGTTTAAACTACTATCAACATAGATTCCTTGAGGAGAATTAAGCATATTTGATAGTGATCCAGCAGTACCATTACCGGCTGCGATTGTCGGGATGGTTGTACCATTATTAAGTAAGAGTTTAACAACTTGATGAAGATTTTTAAGTGAACAATAAAGATTATTATTAACATCGATAAATAAACCATAGCAACTTCCATTAACATTCATAACAGTTACACGGTTTGATGTATTAAATATATATTTATCAACTCGACCATATGAATAACCATTATCAATATAAATGTCACCAGTAATAGACATAAAAAGACTGTATGGACTACTTAAATTACTATAACTATTACTTGTTGATGTAGTACTTCCTTGAGGCCATGATAAAATAGTGTTACTAACTCGATTAGGTACATACACAGTATTAATTCCATTAATAAAAATACCATAAGGTAATAAACCGGTTGTACTACTTGATGCAAAAGTTGATGCATTCGAAAACCATGAAGCATTAGAACAAAATGTTGGTTGATTATATGACAGACCTAAAAATAAATCAATTAATACAAATATTACAATAATTCTATACTGACTACATGAATTTGATGCTAAAATAAACTTTAAAATGCGACCATTAAAATAATCAGCAACAAATAAATTTCCATAAGTATCAAAACTTAAAGTTGACGGATAATATAATTGATTCAATGCAGAACCAGCAACACTCGTACATCCAAATAAACATCGATAACCATATGGTCCTGATCCAATTATTCGATGATTATAACAATCCGCAATAAAAAGATATCCATTAGCATCAAGTGTTATTCCATATGGATTATTAAGTGTAATTGTACCCGGTGCACTAGCTCCTACTATGGTTGTTCCAGTAAATACGTTTAGAGAAAATTTTTGAATTCTACTATTCAGACAATCTGCAACATATAAATTAAATTCCGTATCAACATAAATTCCCACGGGTTCATTCAATGTAGTTGCAGTTGCTCCAGCGGTACCTGTACCAGCAATAATTGATGATGTTGTTACATTATCATTTAACCATCGCTTGACAACTCGATGAGAATAAGTTGCTGCACAGTAAAGAACACTACTAGTGTCAATAAAAAGACCCCAGCATTCATTAGGAACTGTCAATGTAATACTACTTATATTTGAATTTGATGACCATTTATCGACTCGACCATAACTTACACCATTATCAACATATAAGTCACCTTTTGGAGTAACAAAAACAGCATATGGTTGATTCAGACCACCAGAAACAATTCTATCTGGGATAATACTTCCTTCGAACCACATAACGACCCGATCATGATCTTGATCAGTTACATAAATAGTATTGGTAATACTGACAAAAATACCATATGGTCGTGTGCCAACTGTACTACTATTAGTAAATATAATACCATTTGTATACCAAGTTGTAGATGAACACAAATTTGGTTGATTAACAGTCACATCTAAGAAAAAATGAAAATTGATCAGATATCTCGTTTGATTCTTTTAAAAAAAAATATTGTCAACTTATTCTTATGTAGAAGATTCAATCCAACAATTAAATTCAAACAAAACGATAATTGCCCATTTTAGCTGTGTGAGTTTCGAGGAAGAAGAACAATAGTCTGCTGTTCTCAACTACCGTGCGATGTAAAGCAATGTCTAGAAACAGTTTCATAGGTGCAATATTTTCTTTGCGGATATTACGAGTTTTAGCCGTGGATAGAAAGACGATCGGCCTCAGAGTTCTTCAGCTGAATCATTGATCCATAGTAGCTCGGAACTTTGATCAAATGCTATACAGTAAAACTTCTCAATCACGAACACCATCAGAAGTGGTCAGAAGTGTTCACTCTAGGGAATGGAAGTATATTTTGTTGTGAGATGAAAGTAAAAATCCAGAAAAATTGTGGGTATGAGTATGGGCGTGAGTATCTATGGAAAGACAACATACATCTTACCCATACTCACACTCACATCCACAATTAATGAGCCCTATTCAAGTTTCGCTTATCCGATCAGCTTCCTTGATCGCTTCTTGGATCTATCGGTAATTTGTCTCTAATCCTGTGGCCTACTTCAAAGCGAATTTGTGGTCACTAAGCAAAATGTGAATATGACTCATTGTATTTTTTCTTGCAGAATGAGCTCTCGGCGTGATGTTATTCCCTATTTACACATACAGTGACTATATAACTCTCTGCTACATATAGGCAAGAGAAAAAGATGAACACAAACATAGTAAGAACATCATGAATAACACTACGGAGAGAGATATTGAGATGTCAGATAAATCAAATATGTATAAGGTAACAAGTCGCGAGTAACTTTATTCGAAAACACGCTTTTAAAATGTTACATTTCCGACCCTTTTTAATGGTCATTCTCGGAGTTAGTATACCCCAAGTCGATAATGCCGAGCGCCGGAAACAAGTAGGTTTTATTGTAACCGATTCGTACTTCTTGACATGGTTATTCATCTTATTAATACTATAACTATCTGAACTATCTAATAGAGACTATATGTTAATGTGAGGATTTTTGACAATAGAATGAAATGATTTATTGATACGGGCAAATCACTTTTATCCAATTCACTCATTGGAGTATTTTCTCTTGCTTATTAGATAATGAACAAAAAAGATTCTAGTATACTTACCATTAAAAGTATTTATTATAAGAAATTTTTGAACTCGATAATTATGATCATCGGCAACAAATAGATTTCCATAAGTATCAAAACTTATATATGTTGGAGCATATAATTGATTTGGTGTCGAATCATAAGTGCCTGCACATCCAACTAAACAACGATATCCATTTGGTCCTGACGCAACGATACGATGATTGCCACGATCCGTAATGAAAAGATAACCATCAACATCCAAAGTAATTGCGGCGGGTCTATAGAGATCAATAGTTCCAGTTGCTCCAGTACCCGCAAGCGTTTTACCAATTAGTTGTCTTGATGAAAATAATTGTATTCGATCATTATAAGCATCAGCAACATATAAATTCAGATCTGTATCAACATAAATTCCTTGAGGACCATCAAGCGTGTTTGTTGTTGACACTGCACAATCTGCACCAGCAGCAACTTTCCACATGTCTGAATTTGTAGTCATTGATTTCACAATAACTCGATCGAGTGTATATATTGAACAATAAAGGTTATTCTCAACATCGAGGAAAAGACCCCAACACGCGTCTTGCACATACATTGCTGGAACACTAACGGTTGAATTTGGTGTCCACTTATCGACGCGACCATATGAATCACCGTTATCGACATAAACGTCACCATTAATAGCAACAAACATAACAAATGGATAGGATAAACCGCCGGAGATATTTCGTGTGGGTACGGTACTACCTTCATGCCATATTTGAATACGAGCTGTATTCCATTCACATACATATATCGTATTATTAGTATCAATAAATATAGAAGCAACCTCGCCGCCAATTACAGATGAATCGGCGAAAGTTATTCCGTTGGTACTCCATGAAGTATTTATACTGAATTTTGGTAGATTGTACGAAAGAACTAAAAAACATATTTATACAAAGTTCTTATAAAAATTATTAAACTATATTAAAAGCGACAAAGCCACTCGGCCTTAATAATCCCGTGTTCGACAATGATATATAAATCATCTACTTTATACTTAGATATTATGGATTCGAATACGCTTAACAATTTTTTTGGTTAGATTAATAGATTAGTTTAGTATATCAGAAACTCTTCACAGTCGTTCGAATCTTTTATCGCCTTCAGTTACCAACGCTCGAGAACTGAGAAATCGGAATTTTTCAACTGTCAGGAACTATTAGACAAAGCTACTTTGGTTTTCTAAATGATATATATCCAACTTGAAAATAGGAACGGTGAGTGTTGGTGGTAAGATCAAAAAAGTCATAAAAGAATTTAATCCCTTTCAAGGTCCCTTTGCTGGTAACTCATATATGCCTTTATATTCATCTTAAAATTTTCTAGTCGGAACTGAACTACCTCTAGCTTAAGATGGTGCTGAGCTTGAAAATATCAGACGGGACTCGATGGATAGATCTAAATTCGTCCTAACTGCTTGTAAATGCAATTTTGTACTTGAACAATGCTATTTGACATGGTTCAACTTTATAAGAGTAGAAAAGTAGATCAGATAGACCCATAGTAATCAATCAAAATCCTCGCTGGGAACAACCAGTTATCTGTATCACCGTCTATTTCTGTAGAAGAATTGCAGACACATCCCTATTTATCATGCCTTCGGCACTTCTCTCGCAAAAAAGATGACCGCAGTCGACATTAAGTCACTTTCAAACATTCTGATAAAGAAATTACATACGTTTTGAAGACGATGCAGTTGTCAAAGTAGTATTGGTTGAAGTTACTATTAAAAAGAAATATAAACTATTAGTAAAGCATAATCGATAAGAAAATACCAGTAGATATAGTTGTTGCTGTTGTCGTTCCATCTATAAGAGAAATTGAATTAAAAAAGAATAGTTTCATTCAAAAACAAACACAGGACAAATTTTTCTCTCCCGAGTTTGAATATAAGGACATATATAAGTGTATTATGAATTTTGGTGAAGAAAATATTGACCCTCGTTCACTTATATCCATACCTGTCTATTGTTGAATGTGATACAATTAATTTTTACTTACTACATGAATTTGTAATCAGAAGAAATTTTTGAATTCTATTATTAGTTTGATCAGTAACAAATATGTTTCCATAACTATCAAAACTAAGAGTTAATGGGTTAGATAACTGATACGATTGTGATCCCTGTCCAGAACAAGCTGCAATACATTGAAACCCATAAGCATTTGAACCAATAAGACGATGATTACTACTATCAATAATATAGAGATATCCATCAGCATCAAGAATAACTGCAGTTGGATTGTTTATTATAATAGCTCCTGTTGATATTGTTGTTCCATTTAATTGTCCTGATAAAAACTTTTGAATTCGATGATTGGTACTATCAGCCACATACAAATTTAAATTATTATCGACAAAAATTCCACGAGGATTATAAAGTGTAAGCGGTGTTGTTCCAGCAGTACCTGTACCAGCGACTATACTCCATATATTTACACTTTTATCCAATGGTTGCATGACAATTTTATGCGAATTATACATTGAACAATAAAGCTTATTACTGATGTCAACAAAAAGACCGTAGCATTGTGTGCAAACATACATCGCTGGAACACTACTATTTGAATTTGTTTCCCATTTGTCTACTCGCATATTTGAATAGGCATTATCAACATAAATATCACCATTGTCTGTGGCGAAAAGGCTATAGGGTTTGATTAAACCACCAGCGATAGTTCTTGTGGGTATCGTATTGCCGTTAAGCCATACTTGGATCCGATTATTTGACTGATCAGCGACATAGACGGTATTATTTGAACTAACAAAAATACCAGTGGGACCTGTACCAACTATAGTGCTGTTCGCGAACGTTATTGCTGTAGAATTCCACGATGCATTTGCACAAAGTTTAGGTTTATTGTAGGAGATGCCTAGGTAAAATAAGAAAACTATGACTAGAATTTGAACGATAAAGATTATTATAAACTCAAATGAAGCATTTAGTATTTTCGTTCGCGATATTACTCAAGGAAACATTCTAGAATATAATGAATGTCTTGAAAATGTAGTTATCATATTGAGTTTAACTATATACAGAAAATTTTACTGTGGTCTCAATCATCTCTCAGATTCTTATAGATCGAATAAATGTGATGTTTTATTAATGAGATTTGTCGGAGATTTATGTACGAAAAAAGATCGAAGCTCAATAGTTTTACTTTCCTTAAAACAATTTTTGAAAAGTGTATCAAATACGCACCTGATATTGGTCCAATCAACAGCATCCACAACCAAATATGGAGAATGTCAAATAATATCATATATATATTATCTAAAATATAATTTATTGTCATATTAAATAGGTAGTGACATCTGATGGCAAAGTTACACGGATAAATTAAAACACTATTACGATTTTACTGATTTTTTTTTACTTACGACGATCTCTATGAGATACAATTACGTATTATGTGTGGCATGTTTATATATCGCTTAGAAAAAAAATTTTGTGCAACGCAATTGATTGTAATAAAGTAATCCGACAAGAATTTTCTGATGTCGGACTGCTAATCTAGAGATTTATGAGCGATCCTATCATCTAAATTCCGATGAAACTATTATCTTGCGTGAGCATCGACTATCGTGGATAGTTAATACTTATGACGATTTATTCATGCTTCAGAATTCTTTTTTCTTCAATAAAAAAACATTAAAAACGTTCTTTTTCAAGTATTTCAAATATATATCCTTTCTAATATATACAGAAATTGAATTTATTTTGTTGGTAACTGATTTCTATTATGAAACTAACTATATGCTATAATAGAATACGATTCCGGAGAGGTTTGTTTGTTGAGTGTTACTATCGTTAATATCGCTTTGTCTTTTCAGAGAACGACAAAAAATTTTACTTGTTAGAAATTATTTTTTCTTTGTTGTTTACCTAATGGGAAACATGTACGACGTAGAAGTTAATATTTTAAAAATATTAATTTTTACATGATTACATTTTTTTTCTTTTATGTTTATCTCGTCGCTAAAAATTCAAACTGAAAGATATAATCATATAACTGGGAGAAAAGGCATATAGGTGAATTTAACATCATATTCCTACAGAAAACTATCCCAAACGTTTAATACGGATCCCCAAAAAAATATGCAAAGATTTTACTCGAATGTAATGTTAACTTCACCTACGTAGGTAGTACATTAGAATAACTATATTAACAGCGTATGATGAACCAGTAAATTATTAGCTTGTGATATAGGTAAAACTCGTTGATGGATACTATAAAAAGTTAATTAAGATTAAGTCTACGCCAATTTCGAATATATAGATCTTCTCGAATTTATCTACTATTTGTAATAGAAATAATTTATTTAGAATACCAAAGCAACGTTAAATATGAATGGTTACTAATAATATTATTAACATACCTCCTTTTACTTTCCTTCGATTTTTTTAAATCCATTTTTACGCAACATTTTTTACTGAATATTTTTCTCAGATGTTCGAAAAACTACATAATGATTAGATTTCATCTTACCTTTATTATATGAATGTTTTTATTTATATATCTCTACAATATATTGTTATAAGGGAATGTGCATCTCCTCATTTTCTCAACTAAGAATATAATGTAATTGTTTTCATCTTTTCTTCTCTACCAAACATGGAAAAAAAAGAACGCTCTAGTTGCATTTGAAATACAAAGAAAAGAAACGCTATGAATACATTTTTTAATATAATAAGAAGAAAAAGTTTTACTCATTGCATTTGGATAAAGTAATTTTCATAACATAAAATACACTTATTCAAATAAACTGTGTTTTTTTTTGATAATATCATATAAAAGGCAGAAAAAATACTTTTTTCCTAATCGATTCTTACCTCTTGACAAAGATCTTTTCGTAACTTAAAACATCTATTAACCTGTATTTTTCGAAGAAAACAATTATACTGAAGGCTGTTTCTCTAATGAAGTGTATTCCTGTTAATATTAAAAATAGCGCATCGAGATTCTCTTTTGAAAGTAGATCATTTTTCACAATACAGATGTTCACTGTCAATAATGTATTAAGAGAAACACCATCAGATTTCTGTATGATATGACTGACACCGTTTATCTAAGATTTACAGAATCATAATTATCTTAATCAAACAAAGGATATTTACTACATAATACACCACTTCTCAATAATTAACAAAGTAAACTTATCATTACTCTTTTTTCCGTGTCTTATATCTTGGGAATAAAATAATGATTATCGTTTAGAATTACAAAAAACTTGTTTCTTTAAACACTTTCTTTAGTAAAAATAATTTGTTCATTTTCTTCAGAATTTCGATGGCATACTGTTGCTCGGCATCGTAGCATGATGATGATGCTTCTCTTTTCTTCTCTCATTGCTCTGATTGACAGTTCTCAAAATAAGAGAAGTTAACTACGTCATTAAAATAAAAATAATTAGTTAAACCGAAAAATAAAATTCAATTCAAAACAATAATCGATAGAATTGTTCCACATTAATATCGTCTCATCATAATATGATAATAGAATTTACCCATCTTTATGTAACTCAGTAAATATATATGTTTGTTAGTTGTTAATACTTATGAAATGTTTTTTTTTCCTATTCAAAATAAAGTAAGAATTTGTTGTACATTTAATTAAATAAAATTTCTTTGTGCAAAAAACATTATATTTCACAATAAATGAATGAACAAAAGAGAAAAGAATTTTTCTCCATTTAAAAGTAACAGAACAAAAAGAATCACCTAGGATTTCTTTATCATGTGTTTAGAATTGTTATTACTCATGTAATATATCATTTACCAATATGTTTTGCTTAAAGACAGATTATTATCAAATATTTCATGAAGATGTAAACAATAATTATAAGTCTTCTCTGTCTTATGTTTTGTGTATTCTCTTTTCTTGATAATGATGAAAGTGATCATCGAAAATTCCGTATAATTTGCAGCAGTTGATTACTACTCTTACAAGTGAATTTATTTGTATCATTTTATTTTTTCCAATAACGTGCGAATATAAACAATGGATGGCTTTAGTGCAATATATTTTTTATAAAAATTACTGTTGTAAATTTGTCTAATCGACCACAGTATAGAAATATTTTACGTAAATCTGTGTGGCATTGCTATTCCTAACGAAATTGATAAATTGCATAATAGAAACAATCAAAAGATTAATATTTTTCGTGAATATAAAAGATCGTTAATAGCATTAGAAAACAGTTTTCTAGCTTATACATTCTGTTTTTATACAACTACACATTTTTAAATATATTACATGTTGTGCCATATATAGATAAAATTAAGCATGTGGAATTTACGACAAATCTTCAAATAGGCAACATTCTATACCAATTTTGTCCTCTTCACCCGTAGCTTTTATTTGAATTTGTATACAATTAGATTCTGTTAGCTCTTGAACATCGAGCATAAACCCAGTCGTGAGTATTTGATGTTAAGGATACTGAAATTACAGTGTGTATGTTTTCTAACAGAGTCACCGTACCTTTTACTTTCTTTTTTATCATTTCTAGATTTTTAAATCTCAGCGTTTTTCATGTATTCTATCGATATTTTCATCTTTTATCGATTCATTTCTTTAAAAATATCGAGAACCGATTTCTATCAACGTTTATTTATGCTATCATTTGTTTTCTTTTGATTACGTACTATCGCTATGAGCTTATATTTTATTTTCATTATCTTATTTATCAGTCTTGAATTCTTTTAGTTCTAAGATTATAATTAAGTCATAGTTTATCCTAAGGATGTCGTCGTTCCCCGTTCCTAGGAATAGAAAATGCATCTCATGTTGTTCATTGATAGGATACGAGAAATTCAATATGAGTTCAGATTTCTTGAGAACTGCCTCACTCTCTAAAACTCTTAATATTCTTTTGAACTTTCTGAAGTTTATCAGAAAGTAAACCCAATATACTGTTTTAAAAATCGCTAATATTGCTGAAGTCGTGCATAAACTGATTGTGTAATTATCATATACGAGAGTGCTCCATGTATTTCCACAATCTCGGCTATCGGAACGGGAACACAGCATTCTTTAATTGTTTCAAAATCATATGCGCTCGTTTGATTATATCATTTCTATATATATATATATCATTAAAACAACACTGATAATTGACAAATGAATGCGTTCACTTCCACCTAGTTGGTCATAATTGTTGCAGAAAATTACTTATGTTACATAGTTATTATGATGACGTATATTCTTTCTCTCATGTGCTCTTTATTTTTGTCCTTAAAGATAATTCTAATTATACTAGATGTTGATATTATTCATCTGATAAAAATAACAAAGAAAATCTTCTGTTCATTAAAAAATGAATTTATTTTTTACAATTACACGAACAATATAACAAAATTTTAAATAGGAGTCTTTTTTTTTCTGTTCGTTTATACGCGTGATTGTTGTATTGGTTTTACAGTTATTGTTATAGGGACAACTCTATTTTGTTGTTGTCGATAACAAAATCGTAATATTGTCTTCACTCGAGTGCGCAATTGAGGTAATGTGCCGAGACATGTAAATGGAAAAAGCAAGATAACATAATTGCTAAAGAAATTTGCGTATGTACTATAATCAGAACCTACCGAAGATGGAACGCCAAGTTTTTTACTAATACCCAAAAGTACAGGAGGTAAATATATGATAAAGAAAATTGATGTGACAGACAATAGTTGAATTGTCATTTTACGATATCTTCGCCAGTGTACCTGTTGCTGTAGACGACGTTTTTGAATAATAATACGAATGATTAAAAAAGCACTGCCAAATCCTATACAGATAGAAGACAATACTCCGCCAGACATAAATTCGTACAAAGAGTATCCTGCAGAATTATATACACAACTATAATAGCCACATAACATTGAATTGTAATTGAATGGTATACCGCAGTCATTTATTGGAGTAGTTATACCATAAAGTAATATGCCATACATAATAATCAACATCAATGGTATATAATGTATAAGAATACGTTGCATCTTTGTTGCAATCCATTTGCTGTGAAATATAAGAATATGCCGTTCAACTGATGCCCATCCTACAAGTTTTGCCATTGAAGTATAAACCACGGTATCAATAAATTTCATAATCATGCAAATTGTTGGTGATTGTATGGGTACAACACCAACTCGAAAGAAATGTATTTCCCAGGGCATAACTGTTAATTCATGAAAAAGACAGAAACAAAGAATAGCAATGATGACATGATTATGTAGGCCATGACGAAGAGTTGCATCAAAGACCAGATGAAAAAGAAGAAAAAAACCACAGACGAGTGATAAAATATTTGAAATAAGAAAAAGCCAAAATCGACCAATTAAAGGTATTGCTATACCATCAGATGGTACAGCTCTTGCTATAATATCTAAACTAGTATTTGATGTTGACATTATTACAGATGTACAGGAATTTATTGTTTATTGTAAATGAAAATAAATGTAAAAAATACTAAGGTTTATATATGATAATAATTATCTTTTCGCTCGAATTATATTGTTTATATTATGATTATCGTATTACAGTTTGTATAAAAACAAAATAATTGACATGAGATCCGGTTCTATTATAAACATAAGAAATTATTCAAGTAATCTTTTTTTATTGTTTTATTTCATTACACAATTAAAGCTAAGATGAGTAATTGTCAGAAAAAAACGTCAGTTTACGTAGGACTATTATTTAAACATTAAAACTCGTTTCAAATGGACCTAAATTGCATTATTGTTTAGACGAACGAAATGTAAATATAATTTGAAACTTGATTTTGTCTTGCAAATCATAAGTTTCACCATATTGATGTTCATGCGTTCGAAGTTCTGTTTGATTTTATGGTCCTTCTGCTTAATAAGATCAAGTTTCTTAATTTTTTTTTGATAAAATACAATCAATCAATAGGTGTAGATTGAATATGATTAATTTTTGGGTCATATTTAAAGGAAAATCAAAACGTCCTTATGAAAATGACCTAATGTTTCCTCAAAAAGATGAATTGAACATCATTGACTTCTTACTCTTTGTATTTCTACCAAAATAGGCTTCTATTTTCAGATGGACTTTGATTCTGTTGGTGGGTTTATAAATACAATAAAATGGACGAGTACGTTTTAATATAATTATGATTTAAGAGCATTTCATTTTTAAATGAGAATATTTATATCTACATGCAATTTAACAAATGATCGTGTTTCCGTAAAAAGATGCATTCAACTGACTATAAACGACGAGCAAAAGAACTTTAAGCGCACGAGTATTTAGGTCCATAATATCGATGAAAACAAAGAAAGTCAAGGCAAATATGAATCGACATAGATATAGGAATCTATCGATATTATCTTTGCTTGAAATTGATATTTTTTCTTGAGAGAAGAAGAGAGAATAACTCTTAAGAAAAAGAAGTTCATAAATCATTGCTGTTTAGTTGATTAATTTAAGAACATCGTCGGCGTGTTGTTTATTTCATATGAATGTTAACAAAATTTCAATATTTAACATTGATGAAAAATAAAATTGTGTTTGCTGATCTTTTTTGAGTATAAGTTTTATGTTCATAACTAAGATACTTGAAGGTAACAAACTATAATTTTCCTTGTTTGTTTTTATTCGATAGTGTTTATTATCAGACATAATAAATATCTTTTTCTTATAATTATATTCTTAATTTTGATAAATTATAAATTTAAATAATTGAAGTCAGATATAAAACTATTTCTACTACACTTTTAGATTAACTTATGCATACCAAGGGTGTTTATATAAAGAGTCTGAAACAAAATAATTTATTCAGAAATGTTTGTTTGGAACAAAAAATTTGATTAAAAGGAAATCATTCATCAAGTCCCCAGTATCCCTTTTCTTTTTTTTGTAGAATTTTGTAACTGATATGATCAGATCATTTCACAGTTCACTGTCAAAATATATTTTCCATGATTTCGGAGAATTAATTAACTTCTTTGATTTTGTATTGTATTTAGGCAAGCGATGAAGACTCCGATATTTTAATCAATAGTATAAGTTTCCTTCCTTCATCGTCTCCAGTGATGATCATTTACCGGCACTTACAAATTTTTGTTATTCTAGATCAAACTGAATATTCAATAAACTGAAAGTAACAAGAAACTGTTTTTTAATTATTGTTGTGTTTGAAATGAATACTTACTTATTAATTTCTTTTTTTTTGCAACATTTGATTTTGAAAATATAATTAAAACTGTTAGTTAATATGTTATTAAATAACAAAGAAACGGCAAAAGAGAGAGAATGATTAGGTATTAGCAGTAGTTGTGTTTTCTTTATATTTGAACACATCACAATATTTTACTGTTCATTCTGAAATTAGATTGTGATAATGATAGATTTTAACAAACGAGCGTTTTGCCATTTTACACTTAAAGATATTTTAAGAATTATATCTTCAGTTGCTATACCCATAGCTCTTGCTATTTACACTGCAATTGGATCTCAACAACAAAAACAACAAGCTGAGAAAAAACAAAAGTTTGATTTTGAACAATCAAGAGAATTAAGACAACAAACACTTTATGATGAATTTTTAAATAATATTTATAAATTAGATAAAGATGGTTATCTCAATGACACAAAAAATCCATGGGCATTTGCAAATGCATATTATCGTGCTGCTCATCGTCAATGGGATACAATACGTAAAGCAGATGTTTTACAATTTCTTAAAGAAAAGCAATTAATTGGTAGAAATAATTGCACTGGTGGATGTAGAACAACAAAATTAGATGATATAATCCGATTAAATGAGTTAAATTTTGATAATGTACAGCTAGCAAGTCAAACTGGCGTATTAAATCAATTGAATTTACAGTGTGTGTCTTTTGATCAAGTATCAATGTCAAATGCAATATTTTCATTTGCTAGTTTAAATGGTGTATCATTTGATGGAGGACGATTAGATAAAGTGAAATTTGATGGTTCATCTTTAGCTTGTGCTAGTTTTAATGGTGTAAATCTATCGGGTGCAGATTTTGGAGACTCTGATTTGGCCGGTGCACATTTCTCAAACAGTGATTTGTCAGGAGCTAAAATAACGGAAGATCAAATAAACCAGGCATCTTTTGAGAATGTAATTATGCCAAACGCAAAGAAGAGTGAAAGTAGATCCTCAACGACAATAAAAAAACCTATAACACAAACAACAACAATGATAAAAACAAAAATGTCGACAACAACATCACCGATACCAACGTCGTCAACAACAACAACAATAACAACAACAACAATAACAACAACATCATTGTTATCATCAACAACAACGACAACATCATCATCAACAGAAACAACATCGTCATTATCAACAGAAGCAACATCATCATCAACAGAAGCAGCGGCAGCATCATGGACAACAATATCTACTGGTCAGTAATATGTCACACAAATCATAGTACCTTTTTTAGTTGCCAGATGATAAATAATTTTTAGACAACATTTCTTTTTGCATATTATTTTGAAAGATAATCATGTTATATGTTTGTAGTATTGCTGAAACAATTTCATTTACTTTTATCTTAATAAGATAGAGTTGTGTAGAATGGAAGCCAGAATCTTTTAAGGGAGAACTGAGCTTAGAGCTACAGCCACTAATGACAGAGTCATAAAATACAAAATTCATTTATTTTTAACTTTATATGCAGATGTTAACCTTTGTACGTTAGATTCAATTTTTCTATAGATGCATAAACTACCAAAGATATTAAAGGGACTACTATATTCTATAGACAAGTAAAAGAGGACAAATTTTATTTCGTCTGGACCGCTTTTGTTCAGCTTAAACTTCTTATGTAAACCTCAGAAATAATCAGTCATTCTCGTTTTATATTTCGAGGTATTCTATGTCTAGTGTTCGTTTGAGTGAAGACATTTTCCAGTGCACTCGAGTAAATCAACCTATCATATGATTGGAAGATCTTCGTTAGATTCACTTGATATTTTTAAAATAGAATACAAGTATGTTTTGTGAAGACATAATTTAGTGATTGTTGCAAAATGTTAGCTCATCTCAACATATGTATTCGTCAGAATATGTTTAGAATATCACAAAACTAGTTTTGTATTGAAAAGACATTGCAAAGAATGATGTCACATAAGAAAACGAATGCAGAAGAGATAAATGTATTAACTGAATTGAAGATTAATAACTGTGCTAATGTTGAAATAGATTAAAACATCGTTGATGACGATAAATAGAATCGGAAAAACTATGTAAGTAGTGGTATTGTAGAAGATCACAATTAGTCATAAACATAGTGGAATGATTTTAGTGGTTGATTGATTTGTTTTAATTTGAGCTGAACTGTTACAGATTAAATAAAATAAGAGAATGAAATAATGTTTTTTGATGATAAAACCTGTAATCTAAATCTTTTTTTTGTTTAGCAGCTTGTAATAGTACATTCCTTAATCAAACTATTTACTCAGTTGGTTCAAAGCCATATTCAGTAGCAGTAGCCGATGTGAATAGCGACAACAAGCTCGATATTGTCACTACAAACAGTGGTTCAGGTACCGTCAGTGTTCTTCTTAATAAAGACAACGGCAGTTTATCTTCTCCAACTAGTTATTCAGTTGATACGGATCCCCGGTTAGTAGCAGTAGCCGATGTGAATAATGACAATAAACCCGATATTGTTACTGCAAACTTCGGCTCAAATACCATCAGTGTTCTTCTCAACATCGGCAATGGTACTTTTTCTCCTCAAATTACTTACTCAGTTGATATGGAGCCACACTCAGTAGCAATATACGATGTGAACAATGATAATAAATCTGATATTATTACTGCAAATTTCGGCTCAAATACCATCAGTGTTCTTCTCAATATCGGGAATGGTACTTTTTCTCCTCAAGTTACTTACTCAGTTGATCAAGGTCCATCCTCAGTAGCAGTAGCCGATGTGAACAGCGACAATAAACCCGATATTGTCGTCGCAAACTATAAAGCAAATACCACTAGTGTTCTTCTCAATACAGGCAATGGTACGTTTTCTCCTCAGGTTACTTATTCGGTTGGTTTACTACCATATGCAGTAGTAGTTGCTAATGTGAATAACGACGATAAAATCGATTTTGTTACTGTAAATGATGAGAATAACACCGTCAGTGTTCTTCTCAACATCGGCAACGGCACTTTTTCTCCTCAAGTTACTCACTCAGTTGGTACGAATCCACGGTCAATAGCGGTAGCCGATGTGAACAGCGACGATAAACCCGATATTATCACTGCAAATTTCGGCTCAAACACCATCAGTATTCTTCTCAAGACAGCCGACGGCACTTTTTCTCCTCAAACTACTTGCGCAGTTGGTTCACAACCACATTCAGTAGCAGTAGCTGATGTGAACAATGACAGTAAACCCGATATTATCGTCGCAAACCATGGTGAAAACACCATCGGTGTCCTCATACACTGTTAAAATTTATTTCTTCATCATACTCAACATCCTTATTAACATTTCTTTACGCTACCAACAACATTATCCCATAATTAACCACTTAACAATATAGCACGAATGACAATGTTCCTTTGACACTAAAACTTTTCCATTATCAATCTTTCACTGGAACTCATTAATGCTTATATTTTTAGCTTCTTGTACTGTTTTATTTTGCTTAAATCAATGGACAATAAACTGATCCTATCTTTTGACGAAAAGAGTAGTCTAAGTACACGAATGAGAAACTAATGAGAAATGTCAACTATAAACCATCTTAAGGGGTATAGGTGGGTGATCAATACAGTAGTGAGATCCACACCCGCACTCGCAAAATATATCCAAATTTAAGATTGATTAACAAATGGATTCAGATCATGGATTATGTGAAAATATAATGAATATAAATTATAGAATAATAAGATTTGTATTAAAATATGCAACATTTTGAAGAATTCAATTTGTTGAAATTTCAAAGCTTTTTCAAAGATGTGGGTAACTGTGGATCTTGAATGGGCGAGAGTGTCCATTGTTCACCTGTATCCACATCCTCAATAAATACGAGTCGATATATTGAGTTGGATTTTCTTCAAATTTGTCAGACAAGATTCTTCCTTCAAGTTATTAGAATCATGAACAACTTGTACCAGATTTCTAAAATTGATAGTTATCTATTCTTACCTATTGCTAATACATTACTTTAACAAAAATTTATTCTGTATTCATTTTATAATACTTCATACAACTATAAAAACAAATTCATAATAAATAAATGTCAATGATCAGAAGATCGTCCTACAATTATAACTAAATCTGTCAGACTGTTATTTCGTTTACACAAGAATTTAACTGTTTCAAAATTTAAAGATAAAGAATTATTCTTTATTTCTCTATAACAATAAATCTAAAAAATAAACTCCTTTTCTATAAACTACTATCAATAACATTAACTAAATTAGTTTCATATTTGACAGTTTTATTAAATATAATTTTTACTTCATGTAAGAATAATGTTTTTCAAAAAATAACAGCCACATAAAAAACAAGGTTATAAAAATATTGAAATAATAACTAAATCTCTTATTTGCTTTCCAAAAAATGTGTGTAATGAATAAATACTTATTAAGTAAATATAAATCTATTCACATAATATTTTCTTTTACCTTTGCCAATCAAACAACTTCATATAACTGATGAGGTTTTAAACCTCGATGGAAGAAATATCATAATTTCAGTGATGATGAAAGAAAAAAAGAGAACAGTTTTTTCTTCTATAAGTTACCTATACAAAATGAATATTTGAATGAATAAATCAATCAAAAATGAAAGGAATGTATTTTTGATTTCAAGAACATGAATAAATGTTGAGTCAAACAGCCTTAGGCTCTTCCAGCTGAAAGAAAATAGTAAAAAAAATCATTCATTACTGTGCCTACTTTATTTTTTTTTCGTCGATCACATAAAAAATAATGCGATCTATCATTGTCTTGTTTTTCATTATATCTCTTTCATCTGTAAAAGGTTTGTTAGATTATCATTTTCTATTTGACTCTCTCTTATAATATAAACGAATTCTATAGGACAGACTACACAACTTCCTAATTATTCTTGTAGTGAAAATAATGTTTCTATTCAGTTTACATTATCTTCATTGTCTCATTCCGCTTCGAATCCAACATCAAACTGTTTTGTACAACAATGTAATGCAAACTTAACTAATAATAATAACGATGATTGCCGTTCATCATCAACACCTTGTTTTGATTATCGAACAATAAATAATATTAGTTATTGTGCACCTGGTATTTTATGTTCAATATTAGAAACATGTGATAATATTACACAAACATGTTCATCTAATAATTCAATATGTGTTATTAATTCATGTTGTTCACCACAAGCAGTATGTTTACCATTCTTAGCAACATTTATGTGTAAAACAGGTACTAATACGTATAGCAATTTATTTGTATAAAATCTCTGTCAAGTAGTACTTTTCGCATCAGACAGCAAGGTGATATAAATGAATAGATTGAAGTATAAAAGTCGTTATCATAAATCGTCTCAATATCCTTCAAGTACAGCTCGGAAAATTTATAAGGAATCGAAAAACATCTTTTATATATTTGGTTGAGATAATAGTGGAAATAAAAAATATAAAATACTGAAGATGTGGTTATGCTATGTGAAAAGACTTTGTGCAATAAATTTAACTATCATTCTCAACCTTTAATGTTGTATAGTCTAAATATATAAAAATATAACTTCTAGGATGGTTTTCTACTCCCAATATAACTGATGCACGAGAGTATCACACAGCATCTGTATTGTCAAATGGAAAAGTATTAATTACTGGTGGAAGTAGTATTGGTCGTGATTTAAATAGTGCTGAGCTGTATGATCCGTCAACAGGTACATGGACAACTACTAATAACATGACTAATATACGATTTTCTCACACAGCATCTGTATTATCAAATGAAAAAGTATTAGTTACTGGTAGTGCAGGCATTACTGGTTATTTAAATAGTGCTGAATTGTATGATTCATTAACAAGTACTTGGACAACTACAGGTAACATGAATAATGCACGACAGTATCATACAGCATCTATATTATCAAATGGAAAAGTATTAGTTGCTGGCGGATTTTATTTTAATGCTTTAAATACTGCTGAGCTGTATGATCCATCAACAGGTAGTTGGACAACTACTGGTAGCATGAATAATTCACGAATTTTTCACACAGCATCTGTATTATCAAATGGAAACGTATTAGTTACTGGTGGATACAATACTGATGCTATTAATAGTGCTGAGTTGTATGATCCATCAACAGGTATATGGACAACTACCGGTAACATGAATAGTGCACGACATCGGCACACAGCATCCGTATTATCCAATGGAAAAGTATTAGTTACTGGTGGAATGAATGGTAGTAGCAATGCTCTGTATAGTGTTGAGCTGTATGATCCATTAACAGGCATTTGGACAACTACTCGCAACATGACTGTTGCACAATATTGGCACACAGCATCTGTATTATCGAATGGAAAAGTATTAATTACTGGTGGCAATGGTGATGGTGTTACTTATAATAGCGTTGAGCTGTATGATCCATCAACAGGTACTTGGACAACGACAACTAACATGAATAATTTACGATCCTCTCACACAGCATTTGTATTATCAAATGGAAAAGTTTTAGTTACTGCTGGACAGAATAATAATGCTGCTATACATACTGCAGAATTATATTAATTATTCCAAACAAAACTTTAGTTAGAAGAACTGTCATTTTAAGATGTCCACGAATTGTTTCCTTCGATATTTTTAATTATCCTTTCAAATGTTCTCTTAATTTCACAATATAATACTTTATAATATTTAAGTATTCATTAGATTTAGAATATCTATATCCACCTACGTCTTCACCCACTCCACCCTCAATATTAAGAAAAATAATTCCAACCAGTAAAATATTATTATGGTGTTCGTCTCTCACTATTTTCTTTTTTTCTTCCTGTTACTCTTTTTCTTTCTGTTACTTTTTAGTTAAGATGAATAATTAAAGTTTCTTATTTAATTTTTCTCTTATCGATTACTAAGTGTAGTTTTCTTATATACCATAGAATAAAATACATGTTGCTATATCTATACATAATATAATCCTAAAAAGGAATCTTGTTCTGTATGAAAACTAAATTATTCTTTTTTGTCTGTCTTTACTTAAAAACCTTGCACTTTGATGTTAGAAAGAAAATCCACACTTCATGCACCGAATAACGCTTTCTTTTTATGAAAGTAAAGATCGACGTAGAAAAAAGTAATTATTTTTTCTAGAAGACTTTTCATCAGTTAATATTTTTTCTTTCTTTTACATTTATAACAGAATATAATACAATTCTACCAACAAGATATCTGCAGAATGCTTTCTTTAAAAAATTATCTTCGTAATTTAAATGTATTTCCACAATCGTCTAATAGTGAAGAACTAGACGATGACTCACAACATCGATCGAACATCATCGCTACTCGAATCTTTATTCTGACTCTTATATTAAGTCTTTTTGGGATCAGTATCGCTTTATTACTGATGTATCAAACGACAATGATTACCATTAATCATCCAACAAGAGAACAATTTGAACTGCTTCCTAAGAATGCTAAATGTTTATGTTCTCGTATTTCTTTTTCTTATGGCAAATTTACTTCACTTCAAGCAAGTTTTCATCAAGTTTGTTCGAGTGATTTTGTTACTGATCAATGGTTGAAAGCGATCAGTTCCGGTGTAGACTCCACTTATTTCTACTTTACAGACTTTCGAACATATGGTAGTGCTCAATTTCAAGCACTTGCTGCTTTTTGTCGTTTGTCCAAAGCTAATATAGATCAGAGTATTACCTATTTCTATCAAAGTACATTATTAAGTCCACAAGTACTATCTGAAAATGTTTTTCAATCACAAATTCGAGAATCAATTAATCAATTTCAAATAACAGCACCAAATACTTTTAAATCTCAATTAAGGCTAATAAATGAAATAACTATTCATAATCTATTAATGTCTGGATTACCGACAAACTTTTTTTATTATCAACACTATAGTTATTCTAGCGGTATAGGTTATTGGCTATATTCCTTAGGGTATACACAAAGTGATGGTTCAGAATGTTTTTGTCGCACTGACTTCTGCGGAAAGATTCCTTCACGTATTGTCGATATATTCGGAGCATCGGATTCAACAGTTCTAGGCAATATTCAATGGTCTATATTGGGAATGTCAGCGGGTTGTCTTCCAGTGACCTCGATGCTCGTCTCTACACTCGAATGTTTCTACATTCAGACATGTGTAGACAAACTCATTTCATATTTCTTAACAATTGAGAGTTTTACAACAATGATCTATAACAATCAAAGTCTTTACAATCAAAATTCTACAATTGAATCAATAGTTGATAATTTAATGGTTGAAGATTGGATGATAAATATTTCATATGACAAGTATTATTCCGAATGTGCTCCGTCATCATGTACTTATATCAATGTCTTTCGACATGATTTTGTATATGTGTTGATAAAACTTATCAGTCTGTTGAGTGGCTTAATATTGGTACTTAGATTTGTTGCCCTCATCATTGTCCGACTTACGCAAAAAATGAGAAATTGCGGAACAAGGCAGCGAATTCCATGTAAGTATAATACATATCAGTAAATCCTGTTAGTTAATATGAATATTAATAAATAAACTGTTTAGGGCGTGTGCGTTTGGATCAAGTCATAGTATTTATTCGAAAAACAATTATTGAACTGAATTTATTCCAGCATCATCCAAGTACCGATCGACAAATACGTTTTCAACGTTATGGCACTCGACTTTACATATTTTTACTTTTCAGTTCACTTGCAGTTTTAATTAATTATAGTTTTCTGAAAAGTTCAATTCAATCAAAAACTATTCTCCATCCAACTTCATCTCAATTTATACAACTTCAACAAAATTATCCACAGACTCTTTCATGTCCATGCACTACAGTTTCTATGAATTATTCTACTTTTGCTGCCATTCGACCTCATTACCATCAATTATGTTCAAGTGATTTGATTTCTGACAAATGGATTGAATATATTCTGCCAAGCTTATCTGATATTCCTTACTACGTTAACGATTATAGAGTCACAGGTTATAGTCAATTTCAATTACTTTCTATGTTTTGTCAACAAGCACAACAAGCCATTGAGGATGCTCTTCATGTGTTTCTTCAAACAACATTTATTAGTTCTCAAGTTCTTACTCAACAATCATTTCGAGTTCAAATCAATTCAGTTATCGAGACTTGGAAATTAACAACTGTCAACACATTTATCCGAACTATTGAATTATTTCGTGCAACTATGCAAGGAAATCAACTGGCTAGTGATGTTGCAAATATCAAGCTTACTACAAATTCTATATCAGGAAAATTAACATGGTACGCAAGAATATATTCTAATTGTCTTTGTGCTCTATCTGCAACATGCCATCAAACAATTGGTATTTACGATTATAATTCATTCTCGGAAACATTTACGATACGCTGTTCAATTCCTAACTTCTTTATTGGTTGTAATCCTACTGAAGCTTTACTTTTATCATCATTAGAATGCTTCTATAATCTTTCATGTATGTTGGAAATTGATCATTATATAAATTCTTCAGAATCTTTCAATTTTTCTGCTCTCAATCCAGATCTTAATCCACCAAATGAAACTGTGGAAAGCATTGTTAATCGGTTGATGGTTGATACATGGTCGTCTAATATTTCGTTTCCTTCATATTATAATCAATGTGCACCATTATCATGTACATTTCAATATGAGGATCGTGATAATCTCTTTCTTATCATTACTAGTATCATCGGCATATTTGGTGGATTATCACTTGGATTAAAACTCGTCATTATTATTATACTTCAATTTATCGATAAAATATTAACCAATGGTATTGCAAATTTGAATCTATTACGATCTATTAAATCAATATTTAGTTGTACTACAGAACATCAACTTATCCATCGATTACATTTTATATTAGTTGTGGTAACTCTTTCAATTATTTATATATTTTCTGCTTTTAGTTCTCGTAGCATAACTATTGAAATTGAAAAACCATCGTTATCAACTTTTACAGATTTAGAAACACGATTCGATGATTCTTTACAATGTTCTTGTTCACAGATATCAATCAAATACGAATCGTTTCTTAATGTCACATCTCGTTTTCATTCAATATGTTCAAGTGATTTTGTTTCCAATCATTGGATTAAATATCTATATGGTGGTATTCCTCCTATTGATCTATATTCTCCGAATGATTTCATGTACTCAGCTGAAGCACAGTTTCAAATACTTGCTTCATTTTGCCAATTATCTCAAAAAATAGTGGCCGATGCGCTTATTCAACTTGGTGTCAGTGATTTTATCAATACACAACTTTTAACTTCAAGTTCATTAAACGATCGTATTCAAACAAAAATCAATGAATTTCAATTAACAATGCCACAATTATTTGTCGCGAGTCTTTCATTGATTCGCGAAACGACTGGAGCAAATATGTTAATGAGTATATTATCTACCAATTGGATATTTGCTGTTTCACGTAATACGGCTGGTACTGGAATGATGCATAATATACCATTAAAATTTGAAGGATGTAGCTGTGCATTATCATCTAAATGTGTATCATCATCTCGAGGTATGTTATCTGGTTGTTATCCGTTGGAGTCTATTTTACAATCGACATTAACCTGTCTCAGTGATCAAACATGTATTGATCCGACGAAGACTTTCAAAGCATTAAACAGTTCTTCATCAATATCAAGTCGTTTTCCTCTGAATACAACTATTGAATCGATTGTGAATGAATTAATGGTTGAAGAATTGTTAAGTAATACGTCGTATGAAGCTTATTATAAAGAATGTGCACCATTATCATGTACTTATTCTTATGTTGACAATAGGCATGTGATTGATGGTATAACATTTTTAATTAGTTTATATGGTGGTTTGGTAATTATTTATCGGATATTGGCTATTCTTATAGTCAAACAATATTTATGTATGACAAAAAGAGTCACTCCAACAGAAACAGACTAATCTATATTTTGTCAATAGATAAAATCATTGCTTTTGTATTAATTGTTCATTATTTAAAAAGGCTTGCATTATAAATTTTCTTTATGCTGAATAAATATTATTCGCTTATAAGGGTGTGGGTGTGGATGAATGTCGATGTCTGTTCTTTCAATATAACGTTTCAATATTTATCTGTTACTATAGAACGGCACATGTGATGTTATTCATTTGCGTCTTTTAGTTTTACTTTTTTTATGACAATACTCAGTTATCCTTGAAAAGCATTGTCTAACAACACGAACAGTAATAAAATCATGCCTGTTTTTTTTTGTTTCCTCATCCAATGTAAAGAAAAATTAGACGTCATTGTGCACATTCAAATAGATTACATTTATACCAGATGGAAAAGAACATCGAAGAATAATCAATAATCAATAGTAGATATGTGTACATTCTAGTAATTACAGATAACTATTCTTAGAATAAATTTAAGAAGAATATTTATCTTTTTTTCTCGTCGATCTGTCCGGAGGAAACAAGTTATCAGCTATTTCGTATTTGTAGTCTGAATTCGACGTGTGACGGTAAGTGAATGGTATATTTATCTGTAATTCACGCATCCACCAACTTTAAAGTTATTCGAATAGCTCGATTTCTTCAACAATGCATATCGTACTAAAAGTTGGTGGTTTAATTATGATACTTTTCATCATAACAGCGACTATCATCATTTCTCTCATAATCCATTACCGACAAAAATCCGTTCAAAATATATCATCAAGTAATTTTTTACTGATCAAATTGACTATTGGATTATGTTCATTTGTTAGATGAAACAACAGCATAAAGAACCAATTCATCTGTACCATCAACAGGAGATAACAGCTCAACAAATCTGACAACACAAAGTAATTAGTAACTATAATATTTACAAAGAATAAAAAGAGTGTGGGTTGTGGATGTGAGTGTGGGTACCATAGACCCAATAGGCACCCACCCTCAATTAGATCATCAATTAACAATTTTCAAATAAACAGCAAATGCTTTTATAACTAACAATTTTTCTCGTTTCTACTGAATCATGTAAACGAGTGTGATTTTTTTGAAAATGAAAACAATTTATTGAAGAATAAGATGAGATGTGTCATGTATAATTGATTTCACCATCTACATCTATTTAAGAAAAAGGGAAGTGATTTACGAGAATTTTTTTAAATGTTTCATATCTATTTCAGGTGATTAATTTAATTTCAATGTCATGAATAGAAGATAAACGTCTTCAATTTCAATTCTTCTCTTCCGTTTTTCAGAGAAAAAATACAGAAGCAATATAATAATTGATTTTCTAATCCTTAGTCTATATGTATGTATCATATGTTTATTTGGCATTGATTTAATATAAGGCTAATAAAAACTATATATACCATCAAATATAGAAAATAAATCACTTCAATCAATAGTTTTTTTTCTATCAACAGAGAAATATTTAAAGAAAATCTTGAGGGTGGGTGTGGGTGTGGGTGTGGGTGTGTCGGTGTGAGTA